AGATGAGATARATAGAGTAAAATCAGAGAACTTGAAGAGAAAGCATTGAAAGGAATGGACGAGAGGCAGGTAATATTGAACTAAGTCTAGTAAAAACTCTAATTGGCTGAGAGTTTCTCAAGAAATTATATGTTATGTTTGGTAACATGTGACTCACACGTGATCAAGAGTTAGAGACGAGACACAATTTATAACAATGAATTACACGTTATTAGTATAATTTTTGTTAGCATCGGTTTTTTATTGACATTAATAATTATTTCATTTTTGTAAGTGATGTGAGCAAGAATTCTTAAATACATCGTCTAGTTAATTGATGTAAACTCATATTTTAATATCAATTTTGATAAAGTGATACAAACAAATATAAATTATATCAATTTTATTAAAATGATGTTAAACTATTTATTATCAACACCAATTATGATAATTGATGCTAAACTAGATATATYTGCTTCAATTATATATAAGTGATTTAAAATAATATCATTTTATTTTGTGATACGTAGGTGTCATAATTCTATACCTGATTCTCGACCCAAGTCACGAACTTGTGTCTTTTGAGACTCCATCTTCCCGCTGTTCCAGGTGCGGTTTATCGGCCATCTCCGGTATGCGATGACCGATATCTGCTCCTCTGCTTCCATTCCTCAGTACTCCTCTTCAATCTTCAAGGCTCTTGATAGCCAGATAACTCCACATTAGCACATATATCACCTGAAAAAAGGTAAAAGAAGAAGAATATGTACAAAACACTAATCTAAGACCCTAAGATGTGAATCTAAGCTAAAGGAGTCCTAAATGATGCAAAATGATGCTGAATGAGGGATAATGGTATGCAAGTATATACATGGGAAGTGTACAGATATGAATATATCAATACTCCCTTAGCGGTATCTTCATGCACAGTTATACTTATGAAGAGATTTAGGCTTGATATGAAGGAGAAAATGATAGAGAAGAAGATAAAATATCTCGAGATACATCTTTCGAAATGGTAGAGGCTTGGTTTCGACAAAATAGCCCCAATCTCAAAAATTATGGGACATGTTTTATATCGATGAAGAAGAGTTAGCAAATGAGCGTAAGATGAGAGAGTTGTCATCTAGAGGATGAGAAATGCTCACCTTTTTTGTTTTGGTGAAAAGAAATGCTCACCTAAAAGCCTTATATTTCCAATAGAATATAATAAATATCCTCAACAAAACCTAAAAGTTGATATTCTCGAGTAGATTGTTAGTTGATATTTATCTATAGCAAGGCAAGTGGTAGCATAAAAAGACAATTTTCCATCTAAATTACATAATATTAATTTTTAGTTGAGCTACAAAAACTAGCGGCATACTAAGAAAATCTCATAAACTAAATCGATGGAGAACATAAACATCAACAAAAGCTCTTACATCTGAGAACAAGATATGAATCAACATCAAATAGAGAGAAGTTAGAGAGAAAGGTTAGATCGTCAGTCTTGAAAGGTTCTAGTACTACCTAGAAGGCAATGACCAAAACCCCGACCACAGGATAAAAAATGTTGTAATTCACATCAACATGAGAGAGAGAGCTGCCACGAAAACCACCTTAGTGTTGACCTAGAAGAAAAGAAAAAAAAAAGGTTAAAGATAAGTAGGAAAAACGGAAAAAATAGACAGTAAAGATTGCATATAAAGAGCCGAAATTATGGCAGATAACCCAAAATTTTGCCATAATTTCCTAGAGGAAACGAAAAAAGTTTTTCGCAAACGTTAACTAACATATTGAACCGTCGATGATGCTAACAAAAATGTTAAGAGAAAAACATTTGAGCAAATACTTGAATTCTTGTTGATAGTAGTATAAAATGAAACTAGTGTATTAGAAGATTACATTAGAACAGAAACTAAATCTCTCTATTGAGAAAAAGAAGATGAGATCGAGATCTCTCTCGTGAGAGGATTTGGAAACTATCAAATGTTTCTGTTATCGATTCAATAAGAGCAATACAATCTTAATATAGCTTTGGTTTAGCACATGAACCTTAACCAATTCACAGCTTAACCAGAACAAACCGGCTTACACATTTAACTCTAATACCCTCCCTCAAGATGCCATCTTGCACATGAGAGAATGAAAAACGCATGGAAACAAAGGCAGCATCTGTGGCAGCATCAACGCATAACAATCTCGACACAATCGAAAGAAGGCTTGGTTCCACATGATGAACAAGAGAGTGAGAGAGCACCTTATATGTTCTGTGCCAGCAGCAGCTTAGGTGTTGCACACAAGGCAAACACAACATCAGCTTGAATCTGTGACTTCACGTACAGAACGCATTGCAACCAGCCAAGCATATCATGCTTGAAACACAATCCCTTTTCAGCAAAACAACAAGCAACTTCATGAATCAAATTTGTCCAAATCTCTTGTCTTGAACACAACTCTGTGACTCAATTCTGACATGTAGATCTAACCATTTTGAGGAAGAACCATTCCCCTTTTGCAAACAAGACAGTGACATGACATCCATAACAGCAACTAATGGAGACCTCCATTCTATTTTCCCCATAGGTGCTTTAACATGGAAGTGAAACTAAAAATTTATCACTTAATGAATAGTTTTGTTCCATTCGTCTTCCATATGTTCTAACACAAGAGTGAAACTGAAGTAATCTCTCAATAACAAAGGTCAACAACACCTCAAAAACAGCAAGCTTCTGGCATGACAAAGAGGCTTAAGTGTTGAACCAAAACAACAATTATAGTGACATAAAAGCCATCAAAAACATCAGCTACAAGAGAAGCTATCATTCGCAATCTCCTGAAGCTCTTGAACATCTTCTTACCAACATCACAAACTAGAGATTCCAAGTGTAAAAAGTCACAAAAATCAACTTCACAAAGGTCTAAGCAGCTTATCTCATTAGCAAACTTAAGATTCTCCCTTTGTCTTGAAAGATTTTAATGCCTAAAACTACCTTCTGAAATCATACACAGTTTATGAACAACACCATAACAAGCATTAGATGACTCAACAACAAATCTGAATTTTGTGAACTTGCAGAGGTCATAAATGAGAAACATGCAATCCTTGTTGCATTCTCTTGAAACCAACTATATATATGCTCTGAATGTGAAAAAACAGATGTGCTAGAGACATGACTAACCGTCCTTCATCCATTCCGTATTATAGAGTTTCTTGATAACTATCTAACCAAAACACCATCGCCAAAAATCTCCATATATCATCAACATAGAGACATCCATAACCTATATGCTTCAAGAGAGAGTTTCAATACCTCAAACATACCAGACCAGAAATATTGCATCGCAAAAACAAAGCAGAACAAATCTCTGGTAGTCGTGGCTGATAACCATAGAGGAACTCCATATTTAACATCAGCTTCAACAAAGACTTTCCTCCAAACAGATCGTCATAGCTAAGCTCGCCGGAATCGCAAATCAAAGATTCGGAGCAGATCGACGGAGAATTCAATGAAGAATACAAAGATCCAAGAGATTCACCGACTAATCAATCGATGCAAATCTCAAAGAACCAACGAACAACAAACCTCAAAGTACGATTGAACCAAAGACAAGCTTACATCAACGATTTGGAGATTCTGATGGCAAGCAAAACACAAATCGAATCTCGATTTCACAACAAATCGATGAAAATGAAAGAGAATCAAATTGAACGCAAACCAGAGATTTGACGGAATGATCAAATCGGAGCTCAAATCCGGCGGAATAACCGATGAAAAGAGGATCAATCGGAAGAATTCCGACGAATCTAGGTCAATAAACGAAGAAAATAAAACGGAAAGGATCGATTGAGTTTGAGTTCAATGCTCTGATACCATATTAGAAGATTACATTAGAACAGAAACTAAATCTCTCTATTGAGAAGAAGAAAAAGACGATATCGAGATCTCTCTCGTGAGAGGATGTGGAAAATATCAAATGTTTCTGTTATCGATTCAATACAATCTTAATATAGTTTTGGTTTAGCACATGAGTTTTAACCAATTCACAGTTTAACCAGAACAAACGGGCTTACACATTTAACTCTAATATTGTGTAATAAAATAGATTATGAAAATCTTTGTAGACTAGTACGTATAATATAGTCTATTAAGTTTAGAATAATATCGTTGTTTGGAAAATATGATACAATCTAGTAGCGGATTTGTTTCTATAATCACTAACTTTACCATAAGGACCGAACCCTATTTTTGACCGTCGGAGAATTTATCAAAATGAAACCATCCCTTTCGTTCCAAAGGT